AAGTTTAAAACCTAAGTTATCAAAGGCCTCCAACCCATTTAGTTTCTTGGATATATAAGATATTTATCTTTATATGAATCATAATATCAACTAATTCTATTAATTTACTTGAGTACTTATTTTCCAAGACCCTATTCTAATATTAGTTTAATGGACTGACCTTTTTATCCACATCTATCCATAATGTGAGAACTTTTGCTTATTTGACATTACACTTGAGAGCGAGTGTAGAGCCTCTTACAAACTTTTTGCTGTATTCATGTCATACAACGCGTCGCTTCTATGAGACGTCATAGCATTTACACAATTATCAAAATGATTCATGTCATGATTTTTCAACAAATTTTACGTTGGTTGTCAACTACCTAATGCAACACTTCACTTTTTACATCCGAGGCTTCGGACCTGACAATAACAATGTTAACCATTTGATTCTAACCATTTGGTTGATGATATTGAGAGTAATGCTTTTATAATTTTCGTGCACTTGACCTCAATGTAACCAAAGCAGAATTTAGCAGCATACTTCTAGATTAATATCAAAATTTATACATATCCTTCTATCAAATCCATAAAGCGTAGATCAATCTTAGAACATTGAACAAGGCCTAGAGTGGATGATCCAATATAGAGCTTGACAGTGATGCCATTATTTTCCGTCTTTAGATTTTCCATAGTACAACAACAACAAAGCCTTAATCCCAATACGTAGGTTCGGCTACATGAATCTTTTTTCTCCATTGTGTCCTGTTTAGTGTCATATTTTCAGTTAGTTCTAATAAAATATGATCATTGTTTATACAATAAGCCCAAGTCTTCCTAGGTCTATCACTGCCTTTCTTAACATAAGTCAAATCTAAGACATTTACTATCCTAATATTCAAATTGGATCATCAGATGGTTGACATTTAATGTGACCATCCTAATTAGATCATCAGATGGTCGACATTTAATGTGACCAAACCATCTAAGGCGACTTTATCTAATTTTGTCCGTCACAGGAGCTACACCAACCCTATCACGATTACATTTTGTCTCTAAGTGTAAAATCACTCATCCACCTGATCATTCTCATCACGACAACACTAAACTTAGTATTATGCTTCTCTTTTAAAGGCCACCATTCAACGCCATAGAGCATTGCAGGTCTCACCACCATCTTATAAAATTTTCCTTTCAGTTTAAGCGATATTTTCTATCACACAAAAGACCAGAAGCATTCCTCCACTTCAACCAACCAACTTGAATTCTACTATTAACATCCCCATCTATATCACTATCGCTTTGAACAACATACCCGAGATATCTAAGTCGTTCACACCTTTTAATAATTTGATAACTCAAAGATTCACTTCTGTCTCTAGAGCTACTACTAAAATTACATTCCATGTATTCAGTTTTAGTTCTACTCAAATGTTCAAATGTAGGCCTTTAGACTCCAATGTAGACCTCCATACTTCATAATTTTTCTGGGATTTTTCTCTTGGCTTATCCACAAGAAGGATGTCATCAACAAAAAACATTCACCAAGGCACATCCTCCTATAAATGTCCAGTAAGGCCATCCATAATTTAAGTAAACAGATATGGGCTTAAAGCTTATCCCTGATGTATCCCAACAAAAATAGGAAAATATTTGGTCAATCCTCCTTCAGTTCGAACACAAGTAACAACTCTAGTATACATTTTTTAATGACTTGAATATAAGTCATATCAACACCTTTCTTGTCAAGAACTCTCTAAAGGATATCTCTTGGAACCTTATCGTAAGTTTGTTCTAAATCAATAAAAATCAAATGTAGATCCTCCTTATCATTTCTGAACTTCTCCATCAAACCTCTCAATAAATGTATAGCTTTCATGTTAGACCCGCCCGACATAAATCCAAATTGATATGAGAAATCAATATAATAATTCTTAACTTATGTTCAGTTACCTTCTCTCATAATTTTAAAGTATGACCATCAACTTAATTCCTCTATAATTTGCACACTCTTGTGCATGCCCTTTATTGTTAAAAATGGGTACTAAAATACTCTTTCTCCGCTTAAGCATCTTTTTTAGTTTTTAAAATAATATTAATGAGTTTGGTAAGCCAAGAAACTCTCAAAACTTCTAAATATTTCTACACTTCAATTGGGATATCATCAGGTCGTATAGACTTTCCATTTTTGGTTTTCTTTAAAGCCTCCTCAACTTGTTTTTTACTAATGCGACGATAAAAATGAAACGTTTTATTATTATTAATGATATTAAGATCTCTAAGGTCGATCGTTTTTTCAGAAACTTCATTATAAAATTTATCAAAATAATTCATCCACCTATATTGAATATCTTTTTCTTAGAAAATCACTTTTTGATTTTCATCCTTAACACACTTTACTTGAGTTAAATCTTTACTTTTCTTTTTTTATTTATTTTTCTAGTTTATACATATATTTTTCACCCTCATTAGTATCTAATTAGCATCTAATTTATTATAAAAGTTATTAAAAATAGAATTCTTAGCATTATAAATGTTTTCTTAGACTCCCAACGGGCCATCTTATAATTTTCCCAATTCACTAAGCTTCTACATTTAAAACAATTTTTATAACAAAATTTTTAATATTTTATCGTTGTTTGCGCATTATTATTCCACCACCAACTATTCTTATTTATAAAAATTTTTCTTTTGATTTCCCAAGCACATCTTTTACCACTTATTAACTTGTGCTTGTTACTTTGTCCCACATAATTAACTTCTTAATGAACATCCCAAAGCTTAAAATCTTGAAGTTTACTAAGAAAAATAATTTTATTTTTGTCTTTTAAGTACCACCATCTAATCTATAACAATGTTTCATGGTATACTCATCTTCCTCATTTAATCTATGACAATGTTTCATTGTATTTTTTTATCTTCGAACTTCTCTTCTTAAAATTCAGAAATATTAATTGATATTGAGTATTTAAATTGTCACTTAAAATTTCCTTATAATCTTTACATTATTAACGATCTCTTTTTCTCATATGAAAGTAATCAAATTTTATTTTATTTGATCCATTCATATAGTAATAATATGCTCATCTCTTTTTTTAATTGAAGTATTACAAAACCGTAGCAACCATGAATATTTCTGTAATCTTCTACCACCCTATCGACATGTATATTTAAATCTCCTTCAATAAAAATTCTTTCTTCAAGAGGTATCATTTGTATTACGTCTTCTAAGTCATTCTAGAATTTATCTTAAAACCCTACATCTAAACTAACTTGAGGAGTATAAGCACTTATAATTTTAATAATCTTAGTATCAATAATAATCTTAAAGACTATAATTCTATCTCCAACTCTATTAGTTTTTACAACATTATCTTTCAAACTTTTATCTATAATTACACCTATACTATTTCTAGTGCGACTCTTACCAGAATACAAAAGTTTAAAACCTAAGTTATCAATCTCCTTAGCCTTTTATCCAAACCATTTAGTTTCTTGAATAAATAAGATATTATTCTTTCTATGAATCCTAATATCAACTAATTCTATTAATTTATCATTGAGAGTACCTGTATTCTAAGATCCTATCATAATATTAGTTTCACTAGTTTCATAGACCAACTTATTTACCCACATTCGTCCGTAATGTGGGAACCCTTGCTTATTTGACATTACACATGAGCGTCGGTGTAGCGACTTTTGCACACTTTTCACTGTATTCAGGTCATGCAGCGCGTCGCTTCCAGGAGACGCCCTAAAACTCACACAATGATCAAAGTGATTCATGTCATGATTTTTTCGACAAATTTTACGCTGACTATCAACGACCTAATACAACCCTCTGCTATCATGATTTTCCATAGTATAAAAAAGATTGTGGTCAATCAATGGACCTTTTGGTCAAACATAGATCTCAAAAACCAGATGACACATCAGTCCACCATATTCTTTGCTTCAAGTATAAATGTGGTCTTCACCCCCAAGGTTAGATTTATTCTAAACTAGCTATGCTCATCCTTATGGAACTAGTTTCTGTGAAAGAAAGATAATTATAAAGCTAAAACATCATTCATTTTTTCAGTATCACCATATATTTATTTCATTGTTTCTTTTGCTAGATATCTGTGGTTGTCAAAATTGTATTCCCTACATTAATAATTAAGCTCTAAATTTATTGTAGGCCTATCTCTAAAAAATGCCACAATTTAAAAGTGTGGGTCATCTTATCTTCTTTTTTACACAATTGATATTTGAATTGAAGTTAGTGTAGAGTATCAAACACTACATGCTATGACAAGTCATAGAAGATTTTAAAAAATTCTCCTCCACTTTACGTGTAGTCTGGCTAAAATTACTTAAGACAAATGTTTGTGTTTCTTGAAATTTTTAGATGACATTATTAAGCATTTGGTTATACAATTACCTGCATATTTTAATGTTGTGATCTTAGAATGGTGGATATCCACTAAGTGTAAATCATAACATTTGTTCTGACTAAAATTTAGATTAATCATTCTCATTTTCTAATAAGAATTCATGAGAAAAAACTAACATTATATCTTTCAAAGCACCCGTTTAATAATTATTAAGCAGTACAAAAACATTATACCACATGGCCATCGCTATATTACTTCTATAGGCGTGAGTTCCAGTGTTTCATACAAGCTCACACATACTGAGTTGCGGCTACAGTGAATAAATGGACATGTTTTCCATCAAATTACTGTTTGTTCTTTGGCTTCTGTGGTGAAAAATGGATTCTCCTCTTTCTCCTCGGAAGAGACAATGGTCTTTTATTTTTTTCCTATTAACTTTCACAAGATACAACATTTAGCAATTCTATATCCTTTTTGATAAATCATATATGGCACATTTTTTATTTTTTTATTGACTTTTCATATGATAAATTCTTTTGAAGTTATATATACAATTTGATTTCTTATCTATCTCCAACTTCCCTTTCTATTAGTATAAACCAATTATAGATAAACTATGAATGTGGGCTAATATGTCGATAGCTTGATGCTATTCAGTTTGCGGTTCCTGCAGCAGTTGCTGATGAGGAAGCAGAAATGGTGATGTTTCCCAGGTAGGCCTTCATATTTTTGTCTTGTTGCTTTCTACCAGATAAATCTAACTGAAACAAAGTATTCTAAACTTTCTGTCATAGGCTTTCAATTCAAACATGGTAAAAGGAACTTTTATGTAACCCTACTTTATCCACTATGTGAAACTTTTTTTGAATCTCTTACTACCGTTTCACCGTATCGATTTCTTATAGCAAACTTTGAAGTCTCATAGTTTTTATTTTGAAGTAAATTGTTACTCAAGTTACAGGGCGCCTTATCCTTACTAATGTGCCTTGGGGTTTTGCTAACTCAAATGCTCTTCTTCCGTTATTTGAATTTGATTATTCCAGTACAAAACATACTAGCCTTTTCTTTTTAAGAAGTATAGCCAACCTTTTAACTAAACATTTTAACTTTTGATGTTTCTGAAGAACCAAGCAAAAAATCTCCACTATGTTGGGAGAACCCAGCTCAAATGTATATCTTGTGACCATATTATTGGTTCATCTACTCCTTCAATAGTTAAATTTTATGCTATCTCTGTGTAGGGAGGGTCCAGGAGTCTCATATGGGCTAAACTGGGCTTTAGCAGGGAGAGGTGTTATTGTAAATGATAAGGCTTATTACAATTTGAAGAGGCATGAGCTTGAAAAACTTGGTGCAGGCAAGACAGGTAGAATTTAATATTTCAAGTTTTATTGAGTGATTTTGTGCATTCTTATATTTTACTAGAGTTATTTTTTGAACATGCAGAAACTTTGTCTGGCATTGCACTGTATATGAGAGGCAATATAACTGGAGGGACTACTGATGTTTCTAAGGCTCAATTTGGTAAACTTTTGAAACAGGTATTGTGCAATTTGTTTGCTTTTAATAGTTTATGTTGTTACGCAGTGCCTAATTCTTTTCTTTTTGTCCAGTTGCTGATGTTCTTTACCTGTCACTTTTACATCTATTGGGAAGCATCGGTTGTACCTCTATATTGGTTTTAGAAACTAGCTTTTTTTTGATATTTTTCACATTCTCAGGAGCAATTTCTTGCCTTCATAATTTATCCTTAAGGTGCCAGCATTTAAAAATTGTAATTAACGAAGTTTATTTATATGGATTGACTTTACTAAAGCTAGTTTTGTCTTCATTCATTATTTTCTATATCGCAACCGTATTGTGTAAGCTTTTTGAGCTTATAAAGCTGTATTGACGTGGTCTACATTCATGTTTGCTTCTTCTCTTATTTATCTGAAAACTTTTATTGTGATTAATATTATTTAGTTTAAAAATTGGCGAATTCTCTTTTTTATTAGCAGGGCTTAAAGTAAGGATTGTTTGCTTGCTATTTCTAGCTTAACTCAGATTTTATCCACCCATAATGCTGCATCAATTGAATTACACATGAAGTCCAAAATATAAGTTAAAATTAATGATACATTGTCATTTTGACTTATGAAATTATTTTTTTTTTAAGATTGTATCATTAAAATTTTCGGATATCTATTATAAATGATTCTTGAATATGTAAACAGTGCATGAACCATACACTATTGGCAACAAGATACAACAATTCCTAAAAGCGTGTAAGCCATTAACGTGTTTTGGACATGACATTTGAAATATTTGTGTACTTATATGAAATTATAAAATTTCTTTGATAATTATAATATACCTAATCAAATAAGAAAACAGTAGCTTTCATTCTGTATTTGTATTTTTAAATAAACTATGGAAAACATGGTTTTCATAAATATAAGAGTGTGGGTTGTGTGTGGTCTGCTAATTACTGTCTACTACATTGCAGTTTTTCAAGAGGTGTCTAGAAAGCATGTCAAAGAAGTGTCAAATTTTACAAAACAATGAAGGCCAAATATTATGTCCTACATGTCTATTATCCTTCTAGGTAGATGGGAGTTATTTTTTATGTTAAATTTTATTTAGTAACAAATTTCAATTATAGAACATCTAAATAGGCTATTCAAGAAGATCTCATTTGGCAACCTTAACACTGGTATTTTTAATAGTTGGGTGTTGGGGATGCTTGTTTGGTTACTTTGTTGCTATTGTTATTGTATCGAGTGATGCTTGAGATGAAGGACCAAGCATCGAGAGGGTTGATCCATGGTCTCCACTTGTTGTAGTAGGAGGCTAATGATGTGATGAGCTCTCTTGGATGATTGGAGGAATTTTATTTGAGATGTTGACCAAGGGAAGAAGATCAACCAAGGGCTTAGGTAGAGCTAGCCCTAGAACTATCCCTTTTGGTTTCACCATTAGTGTTGTGGCATGGAGAGACATATATGGTATAGATTCACTTTAAAGTGTGGAATGTTAGTAGATGCGTTTGGAGTTTTTGGTGGAGATTTAATAAGTTTAGATGTATGCGAGGGAAGTTGGACCAGGCAGCTGCAGATTATTTAAAAGATGTCGCACAACAGCTGTGCCAGGAAATTGCTGCGGATGAGCTGGCTATATGTTTGTTTTTTGCTATTTTAAACAGCTGTGCTGCAACTGTTTTTGGACAAATAATCATTCTGCCCCTGTACTGCAATGTTATTTAAAACAGAACTGTTCATACTTGAAAACAAATATCTAGTTCAAACATTACAAAATAAAAATAGACACATCACTAAACAGTGAGTAACACAACAATTAAAATTTTTAAAAAAAGACTATTAAAATAATCATTAATAATGTGATAATATTATTATTGAAGAGCAGCTGATAAATATTACGGGATAAGTCGTCCTCTAGGGGAACTCTTCAAGCCCGATCACTCTCGGCGTTGCAAATCTCTAGCCCATCTGCCAACCTAAAGTAGTCACAATTTTTAACTCTTTTTCTTAGACACCTATAAAACTGTCTCTCGTAGCTGTATGATTGTCACGAAGTAAATATGGAACATTGTAGTCTGCAGTAGCAGTACAATACTTTGGAGGTACCTGAAATCCTTGAGCTTATCTTTTCTGAAGGTTTAAATATACAAAGCACATACATTTAGATTGTGACAATAATAGAAGTAATCACTCAAAGTTTTATGCAACTGCGAGGTCTATGAGAACACAATATATAAACTAACGAATCTGTGACTATAAGAAGACGACATACCTTATTAAAAAAAGGGTTCTTGGTTGTCTTTCACTTGTGTAATACCGAGCTCGTGTGTGTCACATATGCATATCACCAAAAAAGGTCGTCCAGAAGAACCTTAAAAACCATAACACTGAAATAGGTGAGGAACTTGATTGCCTTTATTGGGATTTCAGATGTGATAATAACCAATTGTGACATATAGGCCATCCAGAAGAACCCTTAAGGTCGAATGTATCATCATAGACCTCCAAAACTCACAAAAAAACATACATATTTAGATTACATTTATTACCAACAGTTGCTTTATCAGCCGTTCAAGTGGAAAAAAATACATGCATAAGGAAAATAATTATACATGACTTGTATAAAATAATTATATAATAAACATTAAATGTATAAGAAAAAGAAATACTGAGTTGTATAAAATACTGATACAATAAACAATACGTCCAAGTGAGAAAGAATACATGCATAAGGAAAATAAATATGCATGACTTATATAAAATACTGATACAATAAATATTAAATGTATAAGAAAAAGAAATACTGACTTGTATAAAATACTGATACAATAAACAATAAATATTTTCCACACACATTACAAATAAAATAACAACAAAAAATAAACGTTCTCTCCATTTAGCCTATAACATTCGTAATTCATTCTCTCAAGTCTACCATTTCGCTTACTTCTTCCTCATCTTGAGTGCAAGTTTCAGACAGATCAATTTTGGCCTGTGACAAAGTTTCTCCGAGACGATATTCATATGCCTTAGTAGGGACGTGAATGATCTTTATGTTATTGCAAGAAGGATGCCATCGGGTACTTGTTGAGAGCCATTATCGCGAGCACAAGGAAACAAATATGTAGGCATAACACGCAATATGACCCATTTCTTTCTCCAAACTCCAAATACCCGAGTGATATTGTTGGTTCTCTCAAAATCAGGTATGTGATATTTCATATCAGAAAAAAGCTTCATATACTCTATTTGTAATAGATATCTAACATCGACCAAATAATATTTACCTGATATTAATACAATGATTACTATTGTAGTAAGAACAATATCGGATTAGTTCGGTCTCAAGCATATCTGTGGGTGGATGAGGAAAATTGTATTTCTTAGTTTATGTTACAAATTTTAAAATTTGACTGTCACGTGCACTTCTCTCTCAACCGGCTATGACAAAAGTGAAGCAAATGTTGAAATCACATACAACCTTGACTTTCTGCATTGGTGAACCATATCGTCCGATGAATGTGATCTTCTCATTATTTGGAACACATCCATCCACGTGTGTTTCATAAATTGCTCCAATACAGTTCTAAATAATTAAACAAGTTTAACTAAATTATGGTATTCAATATCTGACTATAATAAATAAGTAAGATTACCTGAAAATATGACATATACTGCAGGTCCTGCGAAATCTCTATGAGAGTTCTTTTGAATGTTGGGTCAGTTGGTTTGATAACTTATGATGAAAAACTGACTAGTGTATTCAACCCAACTGAAAAATACCTACAGATTATTTCACATGAGTGCCAAAATCACTCCATGACTTATCTCATAGATTCATTCTGTGATAATATATAGAGAGTTTTTGCTAACACTTCTTGTAAAGTTATCCTGGAGGAGTCACGAAGCCCATGATTTCTGTGTAGTTCCTCCAAGAGATCGATGAATACAAGTTATTTCATACGAAACATATTGCTGAACCTTATTGGGTGGCCTGCAAACAACTCCCCAACTGACTTGTAACCAATGTATGTGAATGTCATGCAAGGAGAGCGCGTTCTGTATGAGTTATAATACATGTACAACAAATACACTGCAGATGCAATTCTTCTTCTGTGTCTTTCTCTATTTGCATACATGTAGCTAAGATATAAGAATCAATAATTTAGCTATTATCATATAATTATATAAACAAACATCATGTGCATATACAATTGGAGAAGTAAATACAAAACATAAAGATGAAAATTAAAAATGCAAATAAGCATTAACAGCGTCTGAATGAAAAAATAAAAATCCGAAACAACATGGACAGCGGCCCATCGGAAAACAAATATAAAATGTCTCACTAGAATAAAATGAAAGTCAAGTGCCCCTCAATTTTCCCTGTTGCAGGAAAATAACATAAATATTGCACCCTATAGTCAAGGGTTATCGTCATGAAAAACTCTCTCCGAGTTGGGTCTTTAAGCAATGTCATAGAGAACAAATACAGCATTGTCTCATAAATTTCTAGAGTTGCCTCCAAAATTCGCAAAACTTGTTGAATGGGTGCTGCTTGTGATGGGCCAGGGTCATTGGTGCATGAAGTTGTCAATTGTGAAATTTGGCTTCTAATGAAAGCATCACCCTCTTTCTTTTTTCTCAACCTTAGGACGCTTTGATACGCTGGTGGATTCAACTTCATTGTGGTTTGGGATAAGGTATTCATTGGAATCACCTGTTTGTCCCAAACTCTTTTTACTAGGGGTGCATACATTATTGCCCGTTGTCATGATACCACAAAACATATGATTTAACTTCTCTTCCAGCTCCAGATCGATGCCATGTATTTAAATTTTATCGCACCTGAGACCACTAACAAAGTCATAGGAGATCTTGATGCAGCTAAAAAAATTGAAAAATTGATAAAAGCAGTGGACGTTTCATAAACGCTCACCTCTAATCGCTCTGCCCACAGTTCCCCAGAAACATCAATTGTTCGTTTTATCGGATCTCAACTCAAGCCTGTGGATCCTACTTTCAAATTTTTTTTTCAAATTTTCCAATCATTTTCTTAATTGATCCCATTTTGTTTATTAATTACATCCTATCGTACTTTCTATCTGTATTTTTTTTTGAATTTTTTAATTATATGTTGTCAGTCCTCGTTGAAATAAGTTGTTGGCCTATTTCCTAATTCAACCTTTTTAAGGCAAAGGTCGCAAAATGTTAATTTCATATCTTTATCCCACTTAGCAAATGAACCAACTTGTTTTGTATTAACTTTTGTATTACTAGTGTAAAAAGAACTAATCAATATAAATATTTGCCATAAATAATATTTACCACAACTCGAAGACAAAAAACAATGTCATAATGTCATCGTCACCCTAAACTCTAAACAACCTATATACCACCTCCACACCACTCACCACACACCATCTCCGCGCGCCGCAGCACCACATCCACACACCACCACCTGACAGCACCACCTCCATGCCACACACTGACACATCCACACGCGTGACTCCACCACCTCCACAACATATACCACCATATCCACACCAAACCACCACCCGACAACACCACCTCCATACCACACACCGACACATCCACACCGACATAGCACCACCGCCACAACACACACCACCACATTCACACAACACCACACATCGACACATTCACACCTCACCAGCCACAACACCCACCATCAACACCACCCTACCACCCTACCACCCTACCACCCTACAACACCTCCTCCATAACACACCGACACATCCATGCCAACACACCACCACATCCTTACCACACCACCACATTCATACCACACCACCACCCTACAATACCTCCACAACACATACCAA